ATTCGGGTCTTCGGGTTGGGTTGGGGTGGTCTGGTAGGTAGTCAATCAAGAGGGAGGTTGGACTGGCGATGAGGACACGTAGGGCATCACGGGCACAGACCGAAGGCTGCCTCCAAATAAACTTTGAAGTTCGGCCAGTCACCTCAGTACCGGGGCAGGGTGCACGCCCGCTCCGATATGATGATTTTCATGTGTGTGTGTGCTTCGTGCCAGGCCAGGGAGTAGAGGAGGGAGGAGGAGGAGGAGGAGGAGGAGGAGGAGGAGGAGGAGGAGGAGGAGGAGGAGGAGGAGGAAGGAGGAGGAGGGAGGGAGGAGGAGGAGGAGGAGGGAGGAGGGAGGAGGGAGGAGGAGGAGGAGGGAGGAGGGAGGAGGGAGGAGAGGAGAGCTGCCCCCGCGCCCGTTGCCGCTATAGCAATCTTTTCGGAACCCTCCTCTGGAGCCGCCTGCGATTCGGGATGCTGTCCACATGGGCGTTTGCAGTCGGGCAGGTCGAGGAAGACATTGATTCAGCGCGAGTCGACGCGAACAGCGACGCGATGGGACAGAATTTGCACGCACTGGCAGCTTCCCGCCGCTGCGGCGTTGGAGACTGAGATGGGTGAGGCTTCCGAGGTTCGCCTTAGGTCGGGCCTGTCCCCCTACAGGGGGATTTTGGGTGAAAAGTTCAAACTACTCAAACATATTCCCAAAATTATCAAAAAGGGTCACAAATCGTCTCCAGACTATTTTTTGACAATGTGGGAATATTCCTAGAGGGACAGGCCCGACTTAGGGCTTGGCGTGCAAGACGTCCCAGGAGGGATTCTGGCAGCCGCCAAGCGGGTCACGAGCAAAGCTCGCCCGCAGCATCCTTCTCGCGCGCCCGCGCGGGCGCCTTTTTTGTGCGCTGTGGACTGCAAGCCTTTTCAGAAGCAGTGTGCCTCCTCCTCCTCCTCCTCCTTCGCCCCCTCCTCCTGCCCCTCAGCACATCGTCTGAACCAGTACTGCCAGCCAGAGGCGCATTGCGGGTGCCTCGAGACGGGGGTCCATGCAGACGGGGGTTCAGCCAGAGCGCCGGCTCTTGCAGGATCCTGCGGAGGCCAGGGTCGCTCTGGCCCCGGCTTGGGTGCAGGGTCCTGCAGGGTCTTGCAGGATCCTTCGCACTGGCCCGGGGTTTGGGTGCGGTATCTTGCAGGATTCTGCAAGGCCTGGCTGACCTGGGTCTAGATTGACTTGGGTCAGAAGATCCCCGACGCATATCTACGCCAGGGCCCAAACATGCCGGGGACAGTTCGAGCAACGGCGTACAGCCTGGCGACTGCCTTCAACACCTGCGCGGTGCAGCGCGCAGGACCGAGAGACTTCGGCGCATCTTTCTCCTGAGGGGCGGGGATCGGGGACCGCCCTCCAATCTTACAGTTGTGCGGAGCGGCGGCGAACGCCAGAGGCTAGAAGCGGCCGGTTCGCAGAACGGTGCTCCGATTTGTTTCTTTGAACCTTCTTGTATTGGGTTCTCGTTGTGCACTGCCCGCGCGTCTCCCGCCTCCAGCCCATCTCCTGCCTGCCTCTTACCGCGCCGTGCTGCGCGACCTCACCATCCTTGGGTGGCTGCGACGGCGACCGTCCTCCTCCTCCTCCTCCTCCTCCTCCTCCTCCTCCTTCTCCTTCTCCTCTCCTCCTCCTCCTCCTCCTCCTCCTCCTCCTCCTCCTCCTCCTCCTCCTCCTCCTCCCTCTCCTCCTCCTCCTCCTCC